GATGGACAGAGGCCACTGGGCAAATTTGGCCAGGATGCCGGGGTTACACCCCTACTCTTTCGAAAGACATCCTGGGATTTTTAATGACCACAGAGAGTCAGGACCTCGGTTTAACGTCTCATCCGAAGGACGGTGCTCTTTGACAGTATAGTGTCCCCGTCACTATACTGGGGCGTTAGGACCCACACAGACCGCAGGGTGAGCGCCCCCTGCTGGCCTCACTAACACCTCTTCCAGATTATGATAAAAAAAAACTAACACCTCTTCCAGATTAAGACTGATTATGATATGAATAATGAATGGAGATAAATCTACTGATGGAAAATTATGAAATCTACAAAAGCTTTGGGTCATGGATGATGGTTTGTCATCCAAACCAAAGTGACCTGGAACCCATCAAAACCCACAGCAAAGCCCAGATCCAAATCCCAGCAATCTGTGATATGAATAAAAAATATACGTTTTTCACAAAGAGTCCCTATCCAAATAAAAATTGAGGATTTTTGCATAGAAGAACAGGCAAAATTCCCGTATAAAAAAAGTAGCATCTTTTTTTTTTAAAGATGAGCTCCAAACACCAGCCACCAGAGGTCACCCCTCTGGACCGAATTACACTATTAATTCTTTAAATAAATGCTCAAGGTCTCTTGTATCTCCAGCTATAGTTTTTGAAGGAATATATATTTTTCTTTTTTTTAAATATACAAAGACTAAAAATGATAAGAACTCATTATCATTTTCAGGTAAATTGGGACAGTGCAATTGGTAATGTGAGACACACATTTTCATCTTATTTGTGCTTGGTTAATACAATTGCTTACAACAGTATATTGTACAAATCTTTTTTTTTATAGAAATGTTTCAAAATGTAATGTAAATTAAATGTAAATTACTATAAAAAGACTCACTATAGCGTGATGATGATGATGTTACATGCTCAGCTCTGGGTTTCTTTTTAAAAGGTTTTGGAACCAGTAGCCTCCTTTGTTTTTGGTTTCAGAAAACCCTTTGCATTCAAAAGGTTTTTTTTTCTTCTTTTTTTTTTTGTACATCTCTGCGAAAGAAGCTTGACAGTTCCTTCTCAGATGACTCTGACAGAAATGGTTTTCTAGTCAGCTGCAAATATGGCTTGCCCCCAAAAAAATTCTAACAAAAGTTTTCTCAGTGGTTTACAATAGTAGGCTATCCTATGTACTTAAAAACATAATAAAAATGTACCAAAGTTTGAAAAGCCCCATTTTCAACATGGCGGCCATCAGGTCCTTAAAATGACCATTACTCCTTTGTATTCCTCCTAGACCAGGAATACTGGTGCCTGATACATGTTTTGGCCATGTTGTATTCTAATTAGCATATTTACATGATAGATAAGTGATTACAAGTACAATTATATATTAAAACAATTGGTTACAAGCATATTTATGCGAAAATAAGTACAATTTCCCTTAATTGCATATTTCTCCTTTCTCATATCGTAGTGTTGGTGGTTTCTGTGGTTCATAACCATTCTTTTGATTCCAATAAATAATAAATTCATTGGAACTGTGTGGTACTGTAAAATTAGTCAAAACAGGGCTGCCATGTGAACCGCTAACCCCTTTTATTTATTTTTTTAATAATGCGTTTTGGTTTTTTTGCCTTTTGTTTTTTTTATATTTATTTAATACTTTTCTTATTTATATATTATATTATATATATATTTCTATGGTGATTTTCTAGTGATTCTCACAATTCCTGTTCCATCCAGTTTCCAGTTTCCATCCCCAATCCACTGTGTTCATGTCACCTTCCTTTCCAATCCACACCATGATCTGGAACTAAACTTTTTGGCAGTGGTATTTGGTTGAGGACTCAGTTGGAGGCAGACGTTCTGCGGTAACAAATGATTTGGCGTTAACAATTTTCTTGCTAAAAATGTTCTAGCGCAAAGAAGCAAGTGAATCGGTACTCTTTCCGCCAAACAACACTGCCATTGCATTGGTCCCATTGTCCTCTATGACATTCCTTGCTTGATGTGGGAGCAGAAACACATGAACGGGACTGGATAGTTGATTCACCATTCACAAGTTTCTGGAATGCTGTCTGTTTGCCAACACTAAAAATACGTGAAGTTGTATCACATCATGTGAAGGCATAAATAAACAGCAACTGAACACAAGTCACTTCCAAGGACTTGTTTCATCTCACTGACGTTGAACACTTTAGTAGCTTTGGACTTGTCTGAACGAAAATAGAGGCCTCTATTGTTCGTCCCAGCATAGTAGAGGAGAAGAATGAATAAGTCTGTATCCTCCCCTGTCAAGGCTGTGGGCTGATGTCCTTGACTGCAGCTCTTTTGTCAGAGCTCTGCATCACCTAATGATGTCCACGTCTGCATCACCTAATGCATTGATAAAAGTGCAGCCCTTCTACTCCAGCTCCTTGTTCATAAAATTGATAAGTCCTTGTTTGTTGCAAGATCTGGAAAGGAAATCATCCTTTCTTCCCACAAACTTACCATAATGGCATATGGTAAAGTCTGCATATGTAATGGCACCGCAACTGTCACGCTTTTCCATGCCAAGCGGTGAACCAGGGAGCCACCGTCAAGGACATAATGCTCAGTTGGTGGGATGGAATCCAGGACAGTTTTGTTAGATTTCTTGCTTGAGAACTCAGTGACTGCCTCACTGTTTATGATCAAAGTTATACAACTCCAATTTAAGTTACTTTTGGGTGCAATAACTTTTACATTGAATGTCAAGTCTGTGTTTTAGGAAAAAAGGGTGTCCAAAAACACGTATTTGAGGTCCAATGGCTAAATTGTTTACATCTCTGGTTCACCCCAAACAAAGATAAAACCTTACAGTAATCTCACAAAATCATGTATTCCATAAGTATGTAATCATGTCAGGGCAATTTAGACAAGTCCGATGGATTCATAGACCAAGAAAACATGGGGTTAGACACCAAGATTAGGTCAAATAATGAAGGAGTTAGGATATTTTAAGGGCTTCCTGCGCATGGACGCCATCTTGAAAATTACACCTTTCTAGTGGTCAAACTTTGGTAAATTGTTAGTATGTTATTAAGGACACCTAATACTACAAAAAAAAAAACAGCTGAGAAACCTTTTGTTAGAACTTTTTTTAGGGTTTGGTGTTTTTTTCCCTTTGTATGCAGCCCAGAGGCATGACTACATCCACTCACAACACCTTTCACTCTTTTTTCAAGATTGGATTTTAGAACATGCCTTGCCCTGGCCAAAAAAAGCGAGGCCTGCCTCCACCATACCATGTATAGGCTACTCATTGATTGTCTTTCTTCACCCCACTGATTATACCTCCCTCTCTTCTGTTTGACTGACATGTTTTCCTATTTTTTTCTTTTTGGCCTATACAGCTTTGTGACATTTTTTTTTCACATTAAGCAATGTGTTATCTTTTATTTAATAGGATGTACACTGAAGCCGAATTCTACAGTAGCCTATATAAATTTATAATGTAGCCATGTCAAAACTTGATTTTTTTTAGACCGGAACGAAGAAACTTGCACCATTTCATAATATTGAATTATCACATGGATGTAGGCCTAATATAAATATTATAGATTGACAATTTAAACCTTACCAATTTTATTAGATATGGGCAATTTCTCCGTCATTCGAGCGCTTGAGTGGTATCCTGCCCATATGATTTACATTTGACCAATCAAATTCGCCATATGCTTCAGTTCTGAGCAATATAGTTAGTTTAATGGTTAATTATTCTTTCTGTCGTTTATCATCCTTCGAGTTTTAAATGGAATTTTTTTTAAATTATTCTTAGCAGATTATGAGCTTGTGTTGTTTTCAGTTTCTGACCCTACATTTCAGATGGTTTTGTATAAACTTCTCTGGATAGGCTACGTCCTCTGTTTTAGCGTCTTATTATTTACACTGCCTGGTATTAACTATTATTTTCTAATTTTAATGGTTCAAGATTTCATATTCTAATACAAATAAATACAAAATTCCAAGCAGACTCCAAAGTTGTGCTACAAACAAATAAAGTTTAATTTCATTTTGATAAATGCTTTTATGAATAAATAACATGCCCGATATAATGGTTCTAACCATATTAGGGTTCTTTGGCTGTTTCTAACAATAGAACTCTTTTTGGTGCTGAACCATACTTTTTAAATTGCTATATAGAACCTTTATGTTGTTATAAAGAACCTTTTTAATAATTGCTTACTTTTATCGAATGGCTAGTTTACCCAAAAATGAAAATTCTGTTATAATTTATAAAGAAAAATCACCAAACACCAAAAATATTGATATTATGTATTACATATTATTATATTCCAACAGAAATACACATAAAAAGTCACAAATACATACAACAATACAAACTAAAATGTAAAGTTTGTGCTTTACTTTGCTTCATTACAAGACTCTGAAGAATAAACAAAAGTGCAAATTATGTCTTAAACAAAAAAAATACAGAGTTTGCCGAGCTATTTTACCTTGATTCTGAAAATACACAATTGAGGAATGCACTTTTTTGGCAGTTTAAACTTGCACAGACACCCTAACTCATCTCACACAACTCACTACTGTTTTTTAGAGAGACGACAAAATTATATTATTTTTTATTTATTACTGAAAGGGATTTGCTATCACAATGAATACAGCAGTTTTACACAGTAGTAAAAAAAAAAAAAAGCTAAAGTGCAAGGTTCGCATGAGAAAATGAAACAAACTATCATACTCATACTAAGAATATGAATACAGAAATACAGCTTATGACAGGTGAAGCATTTATGCTCAATTACCCAACACTCTGAGACTCAATGTCATCTGAGGAACTTCCTGACCAGCAGGATAAGAGAGTTTCTTTAAATGCCCTTTGTGGATAATGTTTCATGATAAAAACTCTGGAAATTTGGCAATTTCAGAAAGACACTGTTTGAGCATCATCAAAATTTTAACTATTTTCATGAGTATGTAGCATATGCTGTTTTGAAGATCCAGAACTGCTCCCATCCGAACTGGAGACATCTTTCTTTTTTATCCGCTCAAGAGCATAGTATCGCAGCATTAGAAAAAATCCTGTTAGGATACATGGGAGTTGAATATTATCATGCAATTTTCTCCATAACAGAATGGAAGCTAATGAGTTAAAAAAGGAAACAAGTTCGAGGGCAGTTTTATTTTTATATGCCACCACAGGAACTCAACTTACATTGACACAATAGCCATTATCTGACCTTGTGTATTTTGTGATAGAGCATTCAAGAAAAAGCTTACCTTGTAAAGAATTGATAATACAGAAGAGGAAGAGGGTGGCCTCTGAGAGAGGGGCAAAACTGAGGAAGCCGAGGCCCCATGTTGTGCCAAACAGACAAGTGAGACCCCAGATACTGAGAAAAGCCACATGAATCTTCTTCCAATCGGGTCGATTGCGGATCTCCTTCACCACAAGGAAAAGCATGACTGCTCCAGAGCTCACCACAACAGCCAGTAAGCCAACATTAATGATGTAATGGGCCAGTTGGCTTTTGTCAGTATTCAACATCCAGCACCTGGATATGCAAAGCAAAGATCATTTAAATTTGTGTATACTGAATGCAGGGTTACATCTAAGTGGTAAATATCTCTTCTTACATGCGGTAAGGAAGGGTGATATTTTCACTAGGTACAATATTCCTTTCGCCATAAATACCCCCTATTGAGAACAGTATACCAACTAGCAGAGCTGGGAGACCTATAATTGGAAAAAAAATATTGTTAAATGTATATATCTTCTAAAAAAAACAGGTGAAAATGCCAATTCTACTTGTTTTAAAATAAATTCATTAATTTATGTTTATACTCACCAAATCCCCCCAAGTAAAAGACCCATGGAGGTGTTGAGCTGAACACCTTGCGGACTAACAAGAACGTGTGGAACACTTCCATAGCCATCCAGCAGAGTGTACTGAGTAGCGAGTAATGCAGAAGAGCTCCCGTTATCTTACAAACAGTTTCATTTCCAACATTGGCTATTGTACCGGTAAGGATGAAGAACAAGCACAAAAAAAATATTGCCACCACCAGACCACGGTGCACCAGCGAGGTCTGGTTTTTCTTCCCTTTTCTGGAATACAGAGACAAAAACAATGGGGGTGAGATTCGAAATAGATTTTGTTTCACTGAACAAGGTTTTTTTATTTATTTTTTTAAGAAAGAAAGAAAGAAAATTTGTGATGGTGTAATAAAAGTGTAATAAATTCCAAGTCAATGAAATCATAATTACCTGAGTTTACAGAGCCAATAGAAGAGAACCAAACAGCTAACTATAGACACGGCACAGCCCACAGCGGTAATGAACGTCAGAGCCTCTAGATGGCGAACCGTAGCCTTCTGTTCCACTTGCTAAAGCATTGAAGAAAAATAGACATGGTAAAGTATGTATTATTCCATTTGTGTGTGTAATCCGTTAACACACTCTCCCATTGGCTATGCAAATTCCCAAGAATGAAAGAAATACCTTTTATTCATAAAGTCTGGCTCTCAGTGTAAAATATTACCAGCAATGAGTAAAAGCTTATTTACCTTAATTGACCTTAATTTTCTTGGTAAACCTCCTACTCACCACAAGAATAGCGAAGTATGTAAGGTGATCACAATGACATTCTGTCTCTCTTTCATTGATTTTAAGCGTATTACAACCATCATATCTCCAAATCACTTCTTTGTCTACAGAAAAAGACGCAAATAGAACAATCAGTAACTGCTTAAACATTTACTAGATGTCAAATACTGATTGATGATGTGTCTATGAACATAGAGACTTGAGCACACCTTTTCTTGTGTCCCATGAAACACATCTTCCAGAACAGTTAGCCTGTGGAATGAAACAGAAGAGGATAGGAAGAGAGTGGCTTGGCACAAACAGTACAGTATGGAGATTCATTATAGCAATTGCAAATTTCATCTGTCAAAAATTCTGTCATAAATTAGGCCCTTTTTATTTAAATGCTAAAAAACAAGACAAGCAATCTGATGTTTATCAGGTTTCACCTCACCATCCTGGTCATGAGGTTTTCAGTGTTAAGGAAATGGAAGACATTTAGGGTGGGGGTGTTCACACTTGTAGATTGGTTTTTTTTTTGTTTTGTTTTTTTTGCAAAAGAAAATAATACATTTAGTCCTGGTTTGCTTAGCGTTCACACTGTAATTTTAACACCAAACCTAAACATACAAAACGAAAACCTCTTTTATGACGTATATTGTAGAACAGAACTTGCTGTGTGCTAGGCTAAATGCATGCGTGCGTACACAAACAGCTTATAAAATATGGAAAGGAGTCAAAACAGTGTCAGGAATTCCTCCGTTTTACAAACAAATGATATCTGCTGCAAGGAGACGGGGGTTCTGACGCCTGTACCAAACTGTAATGGCCGACATAGCTCCTATGACAAGAAGGTCCAGGTATTTCTTGAGCATTCTGTCCTTTATAGGGTTGCATCTTGTGACATCACGTCTTGTTTTTGGTTTGTTTAGATGTCTTTGATCCGTGTTGCATTCATATTTCTCAAACTAAACCAGAGTTCTTTTGGAAGCTGTTTGTTTGGGGCGCACCAAGGTTCGGATGACAGCGTTCACTCTTATTTAAATAATAAACCGCACTGTCAGAGCAATTGCACCAGATTTTGTCATAATCTAACCAAGTGTGAACAACCCTTTGTCTATGAGCTACAGTTGTTGCTAAGCTTATGAATAGCACTTTATCACCATAAAAACGTGGTATAACTTGAAAAAGTATTTAAAAAATACTACTAAACATGCTCAAACATATACTTACTGGTAAGGGAATGTGATGGAACAGGATTTTGACAGGTTCTGGGAGGTTTTTGATGATCTCGTTCTCTACAGAGAGTCCAACTATGTCATCCAGAAGAGTTGAATCAGAAGGTCCCCTCTATACATCACAAATACTGTTGTATCATACACTGTACCCATTGCTCCACATGATTTATTTCTGCTTGACAAATATTGTCATACCTGAAATAATTTCTGTTCCTTGTAGTAAGTACACACCACTTTGGATTTGATCTTTGTTGCTGATTTCAGGCAAGAGGGAAGATAAACAGAGGGTATCATGTTTGGGGCTACAGATGGATGGGCCTGGAATGCAAAACATATTTATTCATATGCAAGAAAAATACCTTTCTGTGAATCAAAGATTATTTGAACTCTGCTAATAAAATGTGAATGTCATTTACTGGCAGAGTTAAATTGAGTCCTGTGAAGCCCTCTTCCATCTCAATAACTGTGCTCTGAGCACAAGGTAGATCCACATGACCTGTTGTATTGGATTTCATCACTACTTCCTCTATCCTGCAAACACACAAACACATGTATATAGACATGATCACACTAAAACAGATACACAAATGTTACTTACTGTACTAGTTATTATTACATACTCATGGGATTCAGCATGATTATTAAAAGATACAAGAGCTGAGCTAGTATTTAGGCATAGATTCTGTCTGCACTCTCTAGAAAGTCAGATTCATATGAACCCAAATTGCATCAATGCCACAATCCCACCACCATTTTCATTTCCAAAGAAAAAAGGTTTATTTATAGTATTGTATTGTGGAGGGTGTGTATGTGTTATGGTTGCAATACAAACCACAGTAAATACTTACCTATTGTAACCACACAAAATGTACCCACCCATTTCTGCACTATGCATACGACGATACTCGTTTTAAGATTTTAATATGATGTCTCAGCATATCAAATGAACTTGCTCAATATATGAAAGAATGTTTAAGATGTGATAATGTACTAAAAATCCAATGATGCACTTGGCAGTTCATGCCACAAAGGAATTAGTTAGAAAGCCATTGTAAGCATGTGTTTAGCTTCCTGTTTCGGGCTCAACCACTGTTTTTCACTCATATTTAAGCTCATCCTGATTGCGTTCTTACAAGCATGCACAACACAACCTCTTGCAATCTGCATGATTGACCACATCAGTTCATAGCACTCCAAAGTAATAGCGAAACTACCAAAATAAAATAAAATGATAATTGCCTTACATGTTTGCTCCTCTGGGCTTCTGACTTGCCTCATCACAGAACTTCTCTTCTGTAAGTGGGAAAACAGATGAAATAAACTTAAACCAAACTAGTTACATACTCAGAAATACTAAACTCACTCAGTGTAACTTTTTATATCTGAAACTTTGACAAAAATTAACATAATACATAACATTAAAGGTTCTTACTGCAGTTGATTGAACCCCCTCGAAATGTATATATTTCCATTACATCGTTCTTGATGATATCACCATGGGTGCTGCCATTCATAATACCATACACACTAGCATCTTTCTGGTCCCCCAGTGAGAGGTCAGTGCAGCAGGATCCTTGAAGGCCTTTTGGTTCACACAGAGTGTGATTCTTTCCATTCACCTCCACTATCAGCAGGTCCAGCAGCGGCTCCCAGAACACACAGAAATTACTTTGATTTTGAAGAGCGTTTGAATCTAGGTGAATGGATGAAGACCGCGTGCACTTCGCTGTGATCCTGCCCCGAATAGAGAGTGTGCTCTCATTTGCTGAAATCTCAATTTTCTCACAGCCTGTTTTCAAATCATACTTCAGATTTCGGGATGCGTAGCCATGGCGCCATATTCCACACATCTTAAAGTCTCTGTCATTCTCTAATGTTGCTGGAGAAGTAAATAAAATTGATAGACATACATTTAATCTGCAAATTTTTTTATTTAAAATTTTCTAACAAACTATCCAAAATATTACTTTTTTTTTTTTGCACTAATTATTGTGCAAAAAAAATAGATTTATTTAACAAGATACTAACAGCAATTCTTATTATGCATCATTATACATAAAAAATAAACTTAATTTCACTTCCTTGCTGGTCGCCTACTTACCTAGACCTGAACTGAACAAAAGACAGATGATCATCCACATTCTTACAGTCTTTGGGTTCTGCTTCATTGTAGCTCATAGATGATGCCTGAAAAGCAACAGAGAACTCAGTTAGAGAGAAATGAAAATACACAATGACGTGCTTCGGTAGAGCCATGCAAGGGCTTCCCATATGAAAAGGAAATAATGTGATCAATATGTTGGCTCTTACTTCCCCTTACCACCTAGTTTATAGAAAAAGATACATGTCTGCATTATCTGTATAGAAAAAAAAGTCCTCTTCCACTATTCGTGAGATAAAAAGGCAGCCATTTAGAAACACATCTATTTCTGGACTCTTATCAATAAGAACACATACATCCAAGGGTAAAAATACATTCTGATGCATGTTTGGCTGCAACTGCCATCTCTTATCCATGAGACCAGACTTTCTTTTGCAACAAAGTGACTATTGTGGTCATACAGATAATATGATGCCATCTTTATGTCACAATCTTTGTTTCATTTTGTGTAGTAATACATGAATCCTCATGGTCAAGACAAAGAGCATGTCTCAGATCTACAATAAAATGAATCATAATACACTGCCAGTCCCAATGTGCTAAAACATGTGCTTAGTGACAGTGGATGAGTCAGCATGGATCACTGAGGCACACAACAGATCTACAAGTCACTTCTTCAAATGCCACAGTGTTAGAAGCTGATGTTTTTTTTTCTCACTTCGTTGAGAGACTATACAGACACCAGAAAACTGTGATATCGCAGTTTAAAAAAAGTGGGTAACCATTCAAGTTGCTCACATCTTCTCATGTAAAATAGGATATTAATTCTATGCATCAAAACAATGCCAGAATATCATTTAAGATTGAAACGGATGAAAGTGAAATGAATTCTCGAACAATATAAAATGTAGGACAGGACTTGATTTTGTGGTAACACTTTAGAATACGGTTCCTTCGTTAATGAATAACTACACAGGAACAAATGAGTAACACAATATTAACAATCTAGTAACTACTATTAACTAACAAGAAATTCTGATTAACAAATTAGTAAGTAACAGCGCACAGATGAAAGTGGTAGTTCACTATTAACTAATCAATAACTACTTTTTTTAATGCTTCCCAGAGAACTACTGTAAGAATCATGGTAACTAACTAGTAATGACTCAAGTGTTACTACATACTTCTAAAGGAATGACTAATTATTTGGATCCGTATTCTAAAGTGAAGATCACGGTAACTAACTAGTAATTACTCAAGTGTTACTACATACTTCTAAAGGAATTACTAATTCTTTTAAGCTTTTGAGGTTTTTGGTGAAGTTTTAGATAGTAATTCCCATAGAAGTATGTAGTAACACTTGAGTAATTACTAGTTAGTTACCATGATCTTCACTTTAGAATACGGATCCAAATAATTAGTAATTCCTTTAGAAGTATGTAGTAACACTTCAGTAATTACTAGTTAGTTACCATGATCTTCACTTTAGAATACGGATCCAAATAATTAGTCATTCCTTTAGAAGTATGTAGTAACACTTCAGTAATTACTAGTTAGTTATCATGATTCTTACATGAAACGCCAATCCTAAAGTGTAGAATCTTCTAATCCTTCACAAGATATTTGCACACACGTATGAGGTAGAAGACATTAATAAAATCTTTTTTTTTTTTTTGCGAGGTATAGGTTAAATAATAAAATCACTGTATATGGTATTTGGATGGCCGATAACTCAATATGTTCCAGCCGTCACCGTGACTCTGGCCAATTTTCTGGCATTCCTCTGGACTGGCATTGAATCACTACAGGACAAGTAAGGTCCCGACAACTGCATTTAAAAAGCCATTTCTTTAAAATTATTCAGTTGATAAATAGTTCTCTAGGAGAGAGCATAGGCTAATTATTTCACAAATCATAAGTCTGCTATGCTATTACATATTGATAAACCTTGTGTATTTGTTTACAGCAGTTATTAATGTTAATGTAGTGCTAGTCATTTGTCCTGCATTAGTTATTGATTAGTTTTGCATGAACTATTAATCTTCTTCAGTAGTTCTCTGGGAAGCATTAAAAAAAAGTAGTTATCAATTAGTTAATAGTGAACTACCACTTTCATCTGTGCGCTGTTACTTACTAATTCGTTAATCAGAATTTCTTGTTAGTTAATAGTAGTTACTAGATTGTTAATATTGTGTTACTCATTTGTTCCTGTGTAGTTATTCATTAACGAAGGAACCGTATTCTAAAGTGTTACCGATTTTGTCTATCAGGAATTGATTGGATCGTTGTGTTTGCTATTGCTGTGATCTCATGTGAGTGAGTTCGTCCCACCCTCACGCCGAGAAACACGTCATCAGAGAAGAGAAGAGATGACGCTGCAAGAGTGAGGGGAAGTTACTTTGATTAAAGATTAAGAGGCACATGACTTTTAAAAAATAAAGATGTGCACCAATAATTCATTTATAATAAAAGATAGCAATATTCCATAAAAAAATAAGAATTGTCCATTCATGGTGACTTTAAACCCAGATGATGGGTTGACAAATAAGACTACAGGGTTAACAGGGCAGTATGACTTCGTTTTCACAAATGAAGTCTAACCTTCCTGTAGATAACAACCATAGGATCAACTACTTTAATTAGTTCTCACTTGTATAGTGCAGATCTACCGTTTTGCTTTTCTGCATGTTGACCTTTAAATCTTTCAAAAATATGAGCCAAACCTGTTGAAATGAAACTGTAGGAGAATGTAGCACACTGTTAAGATCAGACACCACTGTGGCTTTCCTGCATTTACCGACTTCGAGCACAAACATGCGTCAACCTGTTGTGGCAGGCATTATGCAAAACACAACATCTGCAGATACTCCATTTGGTCTGACGACGAAACTACATCATGTGCTTTACCGCTGCTGCTGCTACTATTATAAGATAGTGTGCTCTAGAACTACTAAACTGCTATGAAATGCATGCATGCATAAACAAAGAGAATCAGAGACACATATACTGTAGGAGAGATAAAGGAGCTGAGAGATAACAACATAAAATGACTGCCATCTGTGTCAAGAGAACAATGATAAATCAATGATAAAAAGGCAAATGTGCATGATGTATAGTATACTTCCTTTTGCCATTCTGAGTAAGCGCACTTTAGAGTTGACAAAATTCTGCAACAGATCTGTTTAACTGATTATTGCGTATACAGTGTAATGGAATATGTGTGAGACAATTCTGACACTGTAGCAACAAATGTTGTTTGGGTTTAAGGGCAAGCGGTCAATATTAATGCATAATTTTGCACATTTTGGATACTGTGATCTGTTTTGACAAACTTTTTGAAAAGGAATAAAAAAACTTTTCGACAACAAAACAACCTACACAACAGACAGTTGCCATCGTCTTGCCTATTTGATTTGATAGTTTTTCCACCCACGCTGGCCACCGGATACTATCAGGCCCCAACAACATCCTGCCATGCAAACTACTTGGACACACATCAATCAAGCACACTTTATTTATAGCAATTCAAAGTGCTTTTCAAGTGTAATCAAGCAATTGACAAAAATAAAAGCAATGAAAATAAAGTAGATTATAATAATAGTAAAATGATATAATGGAGTAATATATATATATATATATAAACAGATACATTCTCTACATAGATTGGTTGCTTTTCCACAAGCTAAAAGAGAGCTTATTAACCAATTAATAGGTTTTTACCTTAGCATAAAATTTTACAGTATATATTAGGCACACCTGTTCAACTGCTCGTTAACGCAAATATCTAATCAGCCAATGACATGACAGCAACTCAACGAATTTATTCATCCGAATCCAACGATCTTGTCACATCCTGTCAACTGAGATACTTCAACTGATCGATGTTTGAAAGCAACATATAGTCTACGGACCCTTCATTGCCTATGATATCCCACAATCCTGTGCATTCCATTCCTCGACAGTTGAGCTAAAAAATAAAGATGGCATCTGAAAGTTGCGGTAGGGGGTCAGTTTGTGTCTTTTTCCACTTTTGATGTAATTAGGCTGCACGATTAATCAAAAATTAAACCGAAAATGGCGATTTGGCTTAAGACTGGCATACACTGTGAGATTTTCATCCGTTGAGCCGAATTATGACTCTATATCTTATAGCTTATAACTCTACAGCGTTTTCGTGCGTTGTTTGCAGTGTACAGGGGGAAACAAGAGGCGATAAACTCTCCCGACCAGCAATCTGATGGGCGGGTTAATTTCTGGCATGTCAGCAATTTTGGTAGCCCCTTGTGAGGATGAATACACTTGAAGCAGAGCTACGAACCGGTTGCCCTAAACTCAGTGTTTTTCCCACACGAAAACAGAAGTTAAACCATTTTATCCTTTAATGCAGTAAGAAAGAAAACAAAATGAGGGAGATCTTTGAGTTCTGTAGCTATCAAACAGCTGCAATTTAGCAAACTGTTGCTTACCTCCAGTTCGTGTTGCAAAATGGATAAACCATATATTACACACGTCTTCCAGCCACCAGCGTATAGCCTAGATTTAGGGTCTAGGCTAAACCGGCGCCTCTTTTATTAATTTACTTGATCATTAATTTACTCGTTTCACGTTTCCCTTTCACTTTATTTACTCATTTATTTAATATAGCCTGTTATCACGGGAAATATGAACCGTCTATCATTTGTCAATAAAGAAAAATGTCACATTAATATTGGATTTTTTTTCCGTTTTAAACCATGAAGGTGAGTCAGTGGATATTATACAAGCAATGTGCAAACGTTGCACGAGACTTAAGTCTCAAACCCCAGTCAATTATCACTACAGAAAGTTTCAGCAAGTGAAGACAACAAGAGATAAATCCTACTTCAACATATGCTGATAACTGTCTTAATTTATTTTCTTAATATTTCTCTTGTGACCCATTTATGTAGTGAAAAAAAATGAGAAGAGAAGTATTTCGTGTTAAACAAGTTGTTTATGAAGTAAAGCTGCTCTTAATTTTCATTGATGAGAGATTATTGCAGTGTTCGGACGTATTAGGCTACTGTTAATCATTTGAATTATAAGCCTGTAATTTATTGTATAATCG